ATATATATATATATATATATATATATATATATGTATATATATGTATATGGATCTCTGAGCGAGTGACGCTTCGCGATTATTACACGCGCGCAAATTTTCGTATATATAAACGCGACTGCTCGCAATTGCTTTTTCAACACGTAATAATAATGTGCATAAAGCACAATATAAATGGAAAATATGATTTACGTTGTTTTTCGAAAATTGTTTGCGCGAATTTTGATTTTAAGAGACGGGGGGGAGGGATCGCGGCGCCCGTTTGTCAGAGATCGTTGTGTAAAAACAAAACAAAACGTTTTTGTTGAAAAAAATTTATTTTAACGCTTCGGTCAACAAAACACGCGCGTGTAAAAATTAAGCATGAGCGCGCGCGCGCGCGCGCGTCTTCGCGCATACGCGCTTAAAGCTCGCAATTAATGCGTGTTGTTTCCTTACCTGCCTCGCCCAAACCTACCCGTGTTGCAGACGGAAGTTTGCTGTATAAACCCCCTTCTCGTCCTCTTTCTCTTCCTTGTGTGTGTGCGCGCGTCCTCTGCAGATCCCTATAATCTAGTACGTAACTAGTTCGAAACTTGGCGTATGCAGAATCACTACTAATGTATCTTTACGACGCCGAAAACTTATTCGTTGGTCATTCGAGCGCCGTAGCCTCGCTCTTTTAAGCTCTCTGTCTCCGTCTCTCTCTCTCTCTCTGTGTGTGTGTGTGTACACATATTTCGATATTTTGAAACTCTATCTCTGAAACTGAAAATACCCGTGCGCAAATTCCGCGTCAAAAGCGACGCCCATTAACGAGATAATATGTACGTAAATAAAGCACGAGCGCGTTTATGATGAGATTAAATAAAATCAATTTCTTCTTCAAATAGAAATATATTTTTGTTCAAATAATTTTGTTGACGCGGAGATGTGATCTCGTTCTTATTAAAAAACAAAAAAAAAGACAAATACACTTGAAGAAGAGAAATATGTTATTAAAATTTAAAATACACTTTAATTGTAATTGACAAAAAAAAACGCGTCCTGTTTTTATGCGATAAAAACAAAAAAAAAAATAAAAACCGAAAAACCAAATTTCACAAGCGCTCAAGAAATTTAACGATCGATTTGCTAAATAATCCGTCGTCTGAGTACTGTTCAACAACATCTGCGCGCTGAACCAGCCGCGCGTACACACACACCTCGGCACACAAGCCTCGATGGGCTTTTAGGTATCGGAGTAGTATGTCTATTTGGATGTATCCGCGTCCCTGGCGGAACGGAGTATCAGCAACGGCAAAGGGTTGAAGGGAGCTTATTACTTTACGAGGCCCTCTGACACACGACGCATGCGCGCGCTCACGCCGCACCGCACAATGCGCCATGTATCGCTCGTATCGTCGCGCTTCAGGAAGCGTATCGCGACAATATCAGGATTAACGAGACGGATACACAAAGCACTTTGTCCTTTTTTTTTTTTTTAAAGAAAAATAACAGACTTTATTGTAGAATGTGTTTTAAGTTATTTTACAAGTTCTCTTATAAGCTCGATAGCTCGATGATGATATTTACAATGCTTTTTTTTTTAATTTTTTTTTTTAGTTACAAGTAACATATATTACAAATAAATAAACTTTTCCATCGCGTACGTATCGTGTGTGTGTGTGTGTGTGTTATGGGTCTTTTTGCGACGGAGGCTAATTGCACGATCCTCCTCCTCCTCTCGTGTCGTACGTCTGATTTTTAGTGAAAATTTCGCTTCGTTTGTTTCAGTGGCAATCGCGCGCTGTGAAAGAGCGAAAATTCGAGAAAATGATAAATTACAAATGATGTCGACGTCGAGTTCGCATTATGCGCGCACATACGGACGAGGTTATCGATAAACGTATATATATATGTATATATTCTCTCTCCCTCTCTTTCTCCCTCTCTGACCTCTCTCCTCCGTATATTAAGCGGAATTTAATTTCTAGATTATTAATCTGCATTATATTCCGAATGGGCGCACGGTGTGCGGAATAATAGAGAAATATATTGATAATTGTACGAATGGAACACACGTTTGATTAAATGTCGTGACTTTCTCGTGTGGATTTTATATATAACTCGCAAGCCAAACAATTGTTTGATTAATTGTTTATAACATCGGCCATAATGTCATAAGCATCTCACAAAAGAGTCACAATTAATCGAGTTATCGTTACAATTCTGTGTGTGTGTTGCGTTGAGTTCTTGATTAATCGCGTTAAAAATGATGAAAAAACCAAACAAACTTTTATCTATTGTTTATTCACACCGCGCGCGCAAATAACGCGCTCAAGATATTTAAAAAAATGACAAAAAGATCCTGCAATTTGTTTCCCGATGAATAAAGCGTTTAATAAATTAAACGCATTATTATTATGTGCGGCGGCGCATGAATATTCGGAAAAATCGATACCCTCGACCGTGTGTCAAACGGAGGATCGCGCGTGGTCGCGCCTCGATTTTCGATGATAAACATTTATGAAAATCGATTCGATGTGAAAATGTGTGTGTATGTGTGTGTGTATGTGTGCGCGGGCTTGTACGCTCGCGCGCGCGCGCGTTTCACCTTCTCTCCCTCATACACACACGCATTTACATACACGTATTACATACTTCCTCTCGTTTCGTCTACTTTTATATTTAAGTAAGACACGACAATGCAAGTGCTCTATTATTAATACTATTAATCGTCTTGTGCAGCGAGTATAATCACGATCGTACGTGTGTGTGATTTTTTTTTTTTTTGCGTTTCTTCTAGGGTAACATGTAACTACTGTCGGACTTAAGAAAAAACATTTAAACAATAGACTCAATCGCACATTCAGAATGTTTGTCTGACGTATGTTTTGTGAATCTGTGTCTGTATAAAAAAAAAAGAAAAAAAAACGAACACCGTAACAAACATACTAAACGAATATTTTTCAACGTGTGCAACCGCCTACAAAAGTGGCTCTCTTTCTCCGTGTGTGTGGGTGTGTGTGTGTGTGTGTGTAAGTGCGCGCAGCCGTTCACAAGTGTTTCATTAAACGCGTTTGTCATTACGCAAAAGTGCTATTTTACGCGATATACGAGTATTATTTAGGCATTTCGCGTGCGAGAGCGTCTCATCGAAGATCAATCGCTGTGCGGGGCTATTTTTATTATTTAAAATTTATTTTCCCGTGTGATTTTTTAATTAGACAAAATTTCCCCACATTCGTGATTTTTTTTTTTCTATATTCCCGGCGAGAAGGGATGGTTGTTTCGAAAAAAACTCGAAACTTCGCGCGCGCAAAGCCACGCGACTATTGAAAATGAAAAAAAAAAAAAAAAAAAAAAAAAAAAAAAAAAAAAAAAAAAAACGTCGTTCAAACTTTCCGATTTCGCTCGCTCATTTCGCATATATTGAAAACTAACGTGTCTCCGGACACGGCGCGAAAGTGCTCTCTCTTTCTCTCGTTACAACAACCCACGGAGAGAAAATTAGAGTTTGACATTATATAACATTATTAGCTCGAAGCTCAATTACCTATCGATTCTCGTTGCCGCAAGGACGCGAGTTACACGTTAGAGATCTCTCTCTCCTAGAGGTTTTCGTCTCGACGAAAAATTTCCATCCGTCGAGTCGCGATAATAAAAATCGCGTTTCGATTTGAATGTCTTCAACTTTCACCGGACCACACACAGACCTGAGCGCGCATTCCATCGGAATCGTCGGGCGATCGGGGGGATTCTCGCATTTTTCTACCAAACGAAACACACTCGTTTTCACTCAAAAGAACGATATTCAGTGATTTTATCCGGGAAATTTTCCTCGCTCCGCTTAGAATCTTTTTCTATCTCTATCTCTATCTCTCTCTTTCTCTCGGTGTTCTCGCGAATCGATAGATCGCGATTATTCGACGAAATTGATTTCAGAGCGGCGATAGTTCGTTCGTTCCGCACGAGCGCCCTTTTCCGAAATCGAGGCGGAAACGTGCCAGAAAGACACGTTTTGCCTTCTTCTTCGTCTTCTTCTTCTTCTTCTTCTTTTTATTCTTCCCTCGCTCTCTCGCCCCGCTATAAATCTCTCACCTTCGCCGCCGCCGCCGCCGCCTTTTTCGCTGATGGTCCAACAACCTCGTTCGTGTTCACGAGCGTCTAGGATCTCCTACTTCCTCGCGCACTCGTCGGAATAGTTACGGGACGACGGCACAAGGTCTTAAGAAAGCGTCTTCAAAGTTGGCTTTTGCGAGAGAGAGAGAGAGAGAGAGAGGATCTCCGGCCGGTTAATAAGGAGTATTTTTATTTTATTCTTACTTCTCCGCGACATCGCGCAAAAATCGAGTCAGTCTTGTTGCGTGGCAATGCGGAGCGGATCGCGCGATCGATTCGATGGAATCTCCACAATTCTACGTGCTCGCGATATTCTCACGACTACGACGACGTGTACAAAATGACAACCGTGATCTTGATGAATCTCTTGCTTCGCGATCCTCCTCTTCCGCCTCTTCTTCGACGCTTCATCGTCGTATCGTAGATGTTTCTGAGAAATGTTATTTCCCTTCTCTCTCTCTCCCCTTCTCTTCAATTCTTCACTCGATCTTTCTCGTTGTTGTGCTCCGCTTTCGTAATCACAATTATCACCGATCTCTCGCGCCATCTCGCAAATGACATATTCTCTTTGACGAAAAAAAAAAAAAAGAAACAAAAAGAAAAAAATAGCGCTTCTATTTCATCATCTCGTGTACACGTTGCTCTTCTTCTAGCGTGTTTTCTTCTTTTTTTTTTTTTTTTTTTTTTCCCCCGTTTGTTTCCTTCTCTCAATCTTTGTTTCTTTTTCGGTCTTTCTTCTCAGAGCGCCTCGAACATAAGGAATATATTCTCTCTCTGAAGCAAAGAAAACGATAAAACCGTTCCCTCCTCCTCCTCTTTCTCTCCCCGTCTTAGAGACTCTCCTCTCTGTGTTCTTCTCTCCCGCCCATTTTTCTCCCTCGCGATTCCACCTTTCTTTCCTCTTCTCTTCTCCGCAATCCTTCTTTTTCCCTCTCTCTCGCTTCTTCTTCCCTCTATCTTCCGGAAGGTAAAAAGTGATCCTGACCGGAGCCAATTACGTGAAGTATCTCATAAGGAGAATAAGCGTCATTGGCATAATGGCGGAAAGATTTTGCATCGAGCTACCGCTGTGCCCGGCGCACTCCTCGTGCGTGAAGGACGCGCAATGCTCCTGCAACAAACAAGACGGACGATTTGCCCTTCCTTTAGAAAACTCCGTCGGCCTCGTTATCGATGCTACTACTAGCTAAAGGATCTTCGGTTCTCCACTTCCCTATTCGCGCGCGCGCGCGCGCTCGTTTTTCTTTCTCTCCCCTCATAGTTTTTACCCCGTATTGTTCTTTTCCTCAGCTTTTCCGTACTTTACTTTGGAAAAAAAAAAGAAAAAGAAAAAAAAAGGAAAAAAAAATTAGAGAACAATGCCCGGGTAACTTTAACGAATAAATTGCTGCGGCGGCTCGTAAACAATGTCGATTAATTGGAGCAAAGATAAGTAACTTACTTTCGATTATTCGAGCAACAACGTTGTCGAGTAAGGAAATTCAATCGCGTTCGGAATCGAATATTGCGCAAACATTTATGAAAATAACACGCGCGCGCGCAATCTACAATTACATACAACATGAGACAGAAGATTAATTAAGTTTTTTTTTTTTTTTTTTTTTTACATAATTGCGTTGAGCGAAATATTGTTCACGCGTGATTAAATATCACAAAGCGAAATTCGAATCAGATCCGATTCCCCGAGTCTCGTGTTAACTTATAACATAAATAGAAATTGACCCCCGCGCGTTTGATCAATTTTGATCGATACAACGAGAACAAATCGATTTCATCACATAGTTGGATTATAAACCGAGTTTCCGGCGCGAGTTTTTTTTTTCTCCGGAACGTAACATAATTTAAAGAGGTGTATAATGTTAAAAAAAACGTGGCTCGTACTCACTTTCATCAGCGAGGATGACATTCTGTCGAGGAACTCTTTTGTGAATCGCGCCGTATCATCGCCACACTGACGGCGCACCGTATGATGAGAGCATTCCAAGTACTCCTTGAAGGCGCTGCACAAACAAGCGTCACAAACTCCGTTGAAACATCCCCGCCGTTTGGGAGAATATACATTTCAAATCGCGATATATATCGCCGAATTTCGATTTCAATTTTATACAAAACGCCAACAACAACAACAACAAACGCGCGCAATTTAACCGCGCGAGTTGAGAAAAAGATATACGAAAATCATTGCTTCTCCTATTTTTTTTTTTTTTTTTTTTATATTATCATAAAATTTTATAGAATATTTATTTATATTTTTTTTTTTGCGCTGCAATGCTTTTTCCTCCTTCTTCCCTGAAAAATATTGAAAATTCTCGAGTTTTGAAAAAAAAACTCCGTACGTATAAATTTTGTACACGCGAGAGAGAATTTTCTCTCTCTCTCTCTCTCTCTTTGAACTCAATCCCGCTCGCGTTTGACAACGTGGCAACTTTTTCTTTTCCTTCTCGGCCTTCGGCCGAGAGCTGTGCCGCTCTGTCTACTACTCTTGACTACTAGCTACAATCCAATTAGATCTCGGCGAAGGAACAAAATGACGCGCGAAGAATGTGTTTTTTTTTTTTTTGTTTTTTTGTTTTACGGGATCTGCGCTATCCACTTTCGGGTCAGCGTCGCTACTTACGTCTCTCTTCCTCTCCCTCTTCTCATCCCTTCGCGAGAGGGATGCGCAAGTTCAAAAGCTGCAGTAGACCGTGGCAGAGATACGCTAATGACATTACATCTCCCTGTGTGTGAGTGTGTGTGTGTGTACAGGCATCAGCGTGAAACTTCCGACCTAAAGGACTGATTACACTCTTTTTGCGCGTGTCCTTTGAGCAACGCTCGGTCGTTATTAATGCAGTTGTTTCGTCGGGGCCCGAGCTCTTAAGTGTTAAATTATCACAGTCGCGACGAGGATTTTACGTCTTTCGCCCGAGACGTAGAGATTTCGAGTATTCGCTCAAACCCCGCGTATGCTTTAACTGAAAACTCCAAAGATTCCTTCTTCATATTTTAACTCGATTTTTACTCAGCAGATTTAACGTTTCGAGCTTTTCGCAAAAAGAGAAAGGGAAATGATTTGATCAATCCTCCGGGAAAAAGCATTGCGCGCAGAGAACGCAACGCCCGCTGTAATTTTTGATTTTATAATTTATATTTACGTTTTGTTTCATTTTTTTTTCTTCCCCCCCCCCCCTACAGTTATTTTTCACCTTCTGCAAAGTGCATCCCGAGATTGCCGGAACTCAAAGTATTGATATATTTGCAATTTTTGCGATACAATTTCTTTTTCTTTTTTTTTTTTAGCAGAATAATTCAACTTAAAAAATTCGAATCACGACGAATACCGCGCCGATGCGAGAAATATAAATTTTTCTAATCAAATCCCACGTTATCTCTCCTTTAATCAGTTTAATCAGATTTATAAGTCGGTTTTGTTCGAAAAAATAAAATTTGTATCAAAATAAAATATATATATGTAAAAAAATTATGTAAAAAAAATAAAATATATTATATATATATAAAAAATATATATATATTTTTTAGAATAAATGATATATATATTTTTTTTTTCTTAGAATAAATTATTTTCCCATTTGGATTATTTTTGCACGAAGGAGCTGATAATCCGCAAGTCCGGACAAAATCGTCGAGATGGAATCTACATTTTGAAAAGTGACTAGGTCAAATTGACTCGGTGCTTTGGCGTTCTAAGGTTTACCTCCGCATTGCCAAGCTAACAAAGTTTCCCCGGATAAGCAAATGGACCGTGAGCGGCGCGCACCCTATTTGCAAAGATGCGGAAATTTCGATCAAATGTACATGAGTTTCATCATGTAAATACAACCCACACTTTTGACAAAAGATATTCCGCGGACGATGTGATCCATTTTTTTCCCAGTAGATTTTCGTTTAAACCTCGATCATCAATTTGAACGATCGCGGTGCGAAATCTCTTGTCGCTCTTTAAACAAACATGTTTTTTTTTTTTTTTTTTGTTGCGCGTAAATAAAAATCTATTTTCGTTATATCTTTTTCTCACCTGCGCGCTTGTGACTGTTTCCGCGCGAAGTTCGCGTCTTGTCAATTTAATCTCTAAAGTAATTGGTAATTAAGTGTTACAAACAGTACTCACCAGCAAAACGACCTGATGGTGTTTTGTTGCTGTCCTTCTGCCGTGCTGTTGACTGCTCTCTCTATTTCTTGCGTAGTTCTCTGATGTATTTTGTAACACATCTCGTACTCGGCCTTGGCCTTTTGCATGCAGGGCGAGTGCTCCAGAAATTCTGCAAACAAAATTGCATTTCCCGGCTATTGGATGCGATTGCGTATTCACCAAAATGTGGAGAAATCGAAAATGAAGTCCGAAGTGAAGTTCAATCAAGAGTCGACGTGCGTGAAAAAGAGAGAGAGAGAGAGAGAGAAGCGAAGGAAGATATGTATAATCAAATATTTATCGAAGAACGAAAAAAAAAAAAAAAAGTACACAGAGATACGTGTCTGACTCTGCTAACTCTTATAAACCAGTTTCAATTTGTATACAACGGTGTGATAAAATAAAAACAACTAATTAATTATGACAGCGCGTTTTCCTTCTCCGTAACGAATGATATACAATTGGATTACGTTGCGAAAGTTAATTAAAGTTAATTAACTTAATTAATTTTCAACGCGCCCGGACTTTGAATCCAAAACGCTATTTCTAGAAAGAAATTGTTGCAGTCAGTATTTACGCGAGTGCACAGTCTATAATTACAGAAGAGAGAGAGATATATATATATATACATATATATATATATGTGTACGTATAGATAATTGATCTGCGTCTATTCGCGTCGTATTTCGAAATTACAGTTTTGTGGCGTATATACGAAGGCCACACTTCGCACCGGTCTTGTTTATGAAGTTTATGCACGTCACGTGGTCAGTAGCCGGTACGAAGTAATCGGCGTTACTCTCGTTGTCTAACGATTCATTATGTTACGATGCCTCTATTTCTCTATTTCTCTCCATCTCTCTGTCTTTCTCCCTCACTGACGAAGGAGAGTACATTATGAAGAGTCATGCCGGTTCGATCGACCCGCGGACAATATCCACGCGATATTCCCGTAATCTCGAGAGTGCCGGATGCATTATTGAGTCTAGTGCTATCTCCGACTGGAGACCGACAGTTTGGAATTGCATTGATGCCCGCCGCCGCTGCTTGCCCAATTGGCAAACTGGCTGGCTCCGGCTTTGTCAGTTGGCGAGCGACTTCGCACGTTGTTATTCTGGCCGATAGAAGTTAACCCAGCGCGCACAGATCCTGCTCCATCGCCGACGCGATTGTAATTTTTTTTTTATTTTTTCACTTTTTTTTTATTTATTTTTTCTTTCACAAATTTGCTTTTCAAGCGAGTTAATACGCGTTTCTCTCAATTAGAGAGAAATAGAGACAGAGAGAGAGAGAGAGAGTAAATGAATCGAATTCTTTTGCACGAGAATTGTCTTCTTACGTATGAACGATTTTTTCACATATTTCTCGCTTTTGAATTCTCGCTTTTTTATTCGGTGATTTTTGTTTAAAATAAAACTTTTCCATAAAATACACGCTTATATAGAATTTTTTTAATGCATAGAGAGAGAGAGAGAGAGAGAGAGAGTGGAAAATGTTTTTAATGGAAATGGAATTTCTATCTAGCGTGTGTAATCTCCGCTTCTTTTTTCCGCCTTTTTATATTCGTGTATATGTAATAATATTTGAAAATTCTCGCTCGCTCCGTGAACGCTAATTACGCGCTTTGTGTGTATTGAAGACGCAATACTCTAATCGGCTCGATGATTTAGACAAGTGCCCACTCACCGTCCTGGTACGGGCCTTCTTGGCAAAGCTCCATGATGGCCACGTTGGTGCCGGCGTATAGCGACTTGAAGTGCTCCCTCTGCTTCTCGCCCATGCAATTCAGCGTGTACCTCTGGACGCATTTCATACCCGCCTCGAGATCTCTGTAACAAAAACCGGGAAACCAGTTATTCAGACAATATTCCGTGCAAACCGAATGCTTGTTTCTCCTACGGGCGAGCAAGTAGGAGCTCGCTAGGTGAAAGATGGAAGTTTACCAATTTATTAATAGCACAACTCGATACAGGAAACCGCGAGGCTATGCATAGATCGCGAAGTTAGTCCCGTTTCTATATACGAACCGGGCAGGAATAACTTCATTAGACGACGTCAATAGAATGCGAATCCGATCGAGAGTCGGCCATAGAGCCGACAACAAGCGTGTCGTATATATTACACGATCGATATAAACAAAACGAGAATATATAATCGATCCGATTTTCTTTACACACACACACACACAATACCGCTTACAAGAATTTTTCCTCACATATTTCCGTCGATAAAAAAACGCGTCTAGAAGCAATTTAATTGGCAAACGAATCTTTTTTTTTTTTTGTTTTTCATTTGTCTAATGAAAAACATAGTTTTTCATTAGACACTCTTTCTCGATGTGCGGTTGCCGATTCAATTTCTCACACACACATATATATATATACGGAGGGGCACATTTCGCGACCGACTGATAAATCGCTTCGCGGCAATTAATTGCCGCGTCCTATATATTTCCTCCGCACAGTGTGAGAAAACAAGGAGGAAAATAGCGGAACACAATAACGCTCCCGCGTCTTGGGCTTCAATGCAAATGAAGCTGCCGCCGAAACATATTGAGAGCAAATCGATGTTTTGCATCGCGGTTGTAGGTTTCTATTCATCCGTTTCCGACATGAAACTAACGAACAAAAAATAACGAACGAACAATAAGCTAATAGAGCAGCGTTACAACTGTATTTCGCTTTGTCTTCGAAATTGATTACGCAAACCGTCCATCAAATGTTGGAAAAAAAAAAAAAAAAAAAAAAAAAAAAAAAAAAAAAAAAAATCCAACAACAAACGTCAACATTGCGCGGCGTGGAATCACGAGGCGGAAAGATAGACAGAGAAAGAAAGAGAGAGTTAAAAAAAAGACAAGTTCTGACACGGTATTACTTCAGACTTGGCACGAGAGAGAGAGACGAGCGTGCGGAGCGCGCGTGATTAATAATTTGTCATATTGGCTTCAAAGCTAGAGGCGGGGGCGCAAGTTTCGGGCCTCCCCGAATGAAATTTAAAGTTCCATGAAACGAGCGCGCCGAATTTCCTCTCTCTCCGCCTGCTATCGTAGCTAAATTGCAATCGTAATAAGATTCCTCCGTCCGAATACCGGGGTTGAAAATATCCGTGCGAAATATCCGGCACAGCTTGCATGCAATCATCCACTCAATTACATACGTACCTAGCTGCGCTCGCGCGTCCGACATGATCGGGGGGCGGGAAGGGGGGCCACACAACGTCGTGATAAGCTCGGAGACTCCGATACGATCGCGAATTTCGGACGGATATAATAGAAAGTAAGGCCGGACGCGCGAGTGTCGGGGGGGAGTATATGGAGGATAAACGTCGGATATATTATTTTCCGACCGATTTCCAATTTCACGAAGAGAACGCGCGCGATCGCCAAAGAGCCGCCCCCTCTCCCCCCCCCCCCGAGCCAGCCGTCTCTCTTGCGATCTCTTTTTGGATTTTTTTTCTTTCTGTTTTTTTTTGTTTTTATCTCCAGTGATATACATTATTACGCGGAAATAAATGTTTTATACGCGTTTAAGGCAGCGTTGGAGAATTAAGAGAGGTGTGTAGTTTAAATTTTAAACGCGCATAATGAGGAAATGTTGAAGTAGTTTTGTTTTCTTAATAATGACTGTGTATATATATATATATATATATATATATATATATATATATATATATTATGTATGTTATATAATTCGTATATAAAACCGTTAAATTCGACAAATATATATATATATATGTATATACCTCGTTTTATTCCGTCCGCCTTTTTCCCAAATGTCACAATTAAGCGCGATTAAACCTCGCGCGCCGAGAATTCCCACGCGGGAAAGTTTCTTAAAATTGATACGAACTGCGACGAGGGAGAGAAACGACCGGGCATTTTTCTCGGTGGGCGAAAAATTTCTCACCGACGCGAGAAGGAAACGGAGAAACGAAAGAAAAAAAAACAGAGAGAGAAAAAGGAAAAAGAAAAGAAAAGGAAGAGGAACCATCACGAAAAATTCTCCGCGAAACGGAGCGTCACGGGCAAGCCGCACCGACGTGCCTTTCCCTCATGGAACATGTAAAGGCGACGAATAACAACGGACGTTTTCCGCTTAAAGAGATCGCTTCGTGTGCAGCGCGCGCGCACGGGCATACGGTAGGGTTGGGAAGAGAAAACTCACGGGCATAGTTTGTTGAGATCTTCCTTTTTCGTGACGAGACTCAGGTCGTTGCTGTTGATTCTCTCGAGGGGCCGGGCGCACCTCACCAGCTCCTCGTGTCCGCACTCTTCACCTCGGCAGCTAGC